TATCTAAATATTATTCAATTTAATGCACAAGGCTTGTTTTTTTCAGATTATGCCTTTATTGTTTTTATATACAGTACTGAAACCATGTTTTTGATATGTTTAACATACTGTACCTACTTTAATTAAACTCTGACACTGTTTCCGATAAATGTATTAAACCAACTGCAAAATAATATATCTGTACATTATATATATATATATATATATATATATATATAAAATGTACATTTATATAGATAACTAATTATAAATGAAATACAAAAAAAGTTAAGATGAACAAAATATTTCTTCATTTCATCCTATTATATTTTTATTTTCTCATATTTTATTGTTTGCTACTGTGTTTAAAATTCAGGAATTTGCAAGTCATTCTCAATTTAGCAGCCTGCACAACCATGGAAGGTAAACATTTGGAGCAAGTGTTGGCACATGTACACATTTGGCAACCGCTGTGAGAGTTTGATTCATCAGCTTCTGCAGAGCTGCATGGAGCGCGTCGGCACAGGTAAATGGCAACCGGTCTCAACTCAGCCAGAGAAAAACAAACTCAGGTGATAAGATATTCCCACGCCTTCCATTCACCCTGATAAAGAGCAAACAGTGCTTCCCATATCCGAACCGTTTAAAAAAAACCTAACACACAGCGGCAGCAGGAATAACAGCAGGTGGCGAAAATTAATCATGTCAACACGGTTCAAGAAATAATAGGATTAATCCTACACCAATATGTGTGCTCAATTCACATCACCATTGAACCATAAAACAAAAGTGCTTACCATTTGTCACAAATGTGAAGAGGGTTTCAGACAACGAGCCACTGAAAGACAAGGAAAAACAGATATCAGTGAGCACTGAGCATTTTAGACACAAAAGTTCATTATTACAGTGATTAATTAAGGCCCTGTCATGTGAAAGTAACGCCTACAGGGGCCAAAAGGGAGATTCCCATTGTCAACCCGTTGTGTTGCCAAATTCAGACGACCTCCCTCACTGCATCCCGCACCTCCCCCTCTGACAGGAGAACTGGGGTACAGCTGGGCCGGTGAAAAGAGCAGTGTGCTGGTAATTAGAGAGGAACAGGCTGGGAAATTGCATCTCTGTCAGGCATTACTTAAAAACCTGTCATTATCACAGGCTTCTTGGATGTGATTACTTTTTCATTACTTTTATGGCAGTCGAGCAAACCGTTTCAGAGTTCAGGGTACAAAGTGGTTTATGACAGCGTGAATGAAACCGAAATAGGATACGGCGAGTGGTGTGCCAACAACAACAAAATAATAGATAAATGTCTGAAGCCTGGGAATATAAGCAATAAACTGCTGGTGACAGAAATATAATCTAATAAAATCAACGTAAAAATGAATCAAGTGCTGATCAGAGTCACCAGACTGAAATAACCATTTAAGTGCGTGCAATAAAACATGTGGAAAGCCTGAGTTCAAAACCCAAGCAATGTAAATACAGGAACTGATATTGATTGTAGTTATTCAGTTAGGTTAAAGCGGACCCTGAGGACTGTTACATCATCAACATAATCTCCTTAGACTGGAGATGATGGATTTAGTTTGACTAATCAATTGGTTTGTGAAATAAATGGCTAATCCACCAGTGCAACTTCATAATTTGCAGTAATATTTTTAAGTGCTTGCTAAGACAAGCAACACTATTACTATTTCTCTATTTCTCATAATTTGGTTTAGTTAAAGAATAAATGAAATGCATTAAAAAATGCATATAATTAATAAATGTGTAAATAAATTTAAAAAATTATATAACCCACATCCAGGACACCCTAGCAATCACAGAAATGCACTTAAAAACAAACAGAACACCCCAGTAACTATATAGCAATGCTCTAGCAGGCAGAAACAATATAACAACGCAATAAAATGCATTCTGAACACCTAATAACTGCATAACAATGCAGAACATACTAGACAGCAGATGGCTAAGCATCAAAAACCATTCTGAATATCCAGTAACTATGTAACAATGCTCTAGCAATCACAGCAATCAGGAATCAACGCTAAGGATTTTTTCTACTGGCCCGGTTGGGCCCAACCATCCCAGAGTTGAATGAGAGAACCATCCCGGTTGGGCCAGTGGTTCAAATTTTTACTTGCCCTGCCAACATTTTCATTGGCCCTGCCACAAAAAATAAAATAGTTGCTGTTATCATTGTTTTTGATCTGTTATCTTGTATTCTAATAAATAAGCTTATATGACACCAATATTTTAGATACCAATTAAATTGTACAATTCTCTATTTCAATTTCGATACCACAGCAAAAATCACTAGCCACAAATAAACAAATATAAAGTTAAAACATTATTAAAGACAAGAGACAGCCAGTAAATAAGAACAAATGACAAGTAATAGCACAATTAAATATAGGCCTATAGCACAAAAATAGAAATGAAATGATGCTTTAGGTTTTTATGTTTGTAGATGTTCAGGTACAGAAATTGAAAAATCACATACAAAATAACATTTGCATATTCTTCACTCTGTGTTGCACCTTGATTTTTTCATAGCCATTTGAAATTAGAGGCAACCACTGCATTTTAATCATGAATTGAAAAAAAAGTGCAATGTTTGATTTATATTAGACTGTATTATTTCAAAATCTGAAGCAAAAACAGAATAACCTAACTTTAGCTTTGTGAAATAATGCTACATAAAACATCTGTATGAAACAGAAACAGCAGGTGGGCTGAATGAGACGCAGATTCACTCTCTGACAGCAGGTGGCGCTTATGGTACAGCAACACAGCGCTTCCTTGGTTACCGCTGTAAACACAGCAGCGCTGTGCGTATTAACACTAATTTAAATGCATCATACGGAGACAAAATGAAAAGAAAACGCCATTTCTGAAAAAAGTCAGTTCCGTTCCCCTCAGAAACACATTCATATAAATTTCAATGTTTGGATTTTCATCCTATATTTCGCGCATCGTGAACAGTGATCTTGTTCTGCCTGCTACAGTATTTTCTCCTCTTTGTGTCCGTCTTCAGAATCTCTGGCCTCTGTTAATGGCCGTTTACAGACTAAGTATAATAATAACGTAGTATTTCCACACAAATGGCCATTGGGAAAATGATTGCAGTGCAGTTTGTGTGCAAGCACGGAACAGAAGATAGTCTGAAATAAAACAAAAAATGTCCGGTACATCGGTGCATCTGTAACTTACTCCAGTGTATAAATTCAATATAGATTAATCATTGTTAAAGCTACAAAGTTACTTGCCAGG